AATTCATGTTTCAGTAAGGTCACCTCTCATTCTTCTAAACCCCAATGACTACAGGACCAACCTACTCAAATTCGACTCAGAAAAAAAATCCCTCCATTCCTGGAAGCAATCTAGTGAACCTTCTCTGGACTGCTCACAAAGCCAGTATGGCTTTTCTTCAGTAAAAGGACAAAAATGGTATTCTAGATCTGGTCTGACTACTGCCTTGTATAATTTTAGTAAGACTTCCCCATTTTTATACTCCATCTGAATGGAGTATACATTCCATTTATCCCACTACCCATTGAACTTCTATGCTAACATTGTGCAATTCTATTGAATTTGAACCTTGTTCTCAAACATATCATCATCCATACACCATTGTTTCCGTTCCAATTATTAAACCTGAGTTGAGACAAGCATCTAGGGATTGGTTAAATGCCAATCCCTAATATACAAGTAATGACTGGCAGTGGATAGATACTACAGCAGTTATGATGGTCTAATGAACATTCGAACAACTGTACCCAATGTAGGCAGATTTTCATTTGCATTACTTTAAAAAAAATTTGTCTGTTTTTTTTCTAATTTCTTTCCACACATGGTTAGGGCAGTAAATATGTAGTGGCAAAATATTTATGCTTCTGTCTTTTCTATCAGTAAATGTTTACACTTGTCTGATATACGTATCAATTTCTGCACTTGGCTTTTTCATTACCCTGCTCAATGATATAATGCTCTAAATAAGTTTTGCGGAACATGTAGACAGGATAATAAGTTACATGCCCTGCTGCTGTTGTTTATTGCAAACCTAATGAAATTGTACATTCATGCAGTATTACGTGGAGTGCAAAACAGCTGCTGGGCATTAAGATATTAGCCCAACTTTGGAAAATTAAGCCAAGCAAAAAGCAGTAGAAACTTCAAAACTTAAATTTATATCTGAGACATTGAAGTATTGTGCTGGGATCAGTATGTGGTTTGCAGCCCAACAGCACCATCTACAGGATAACTAACATATTAGAAACAAAAACAGAAATTGCTGAAAAAGCTCAGTAGGTCTGGCAGCATCTGTGCAGAGAAATTGGAGTTAATGCTTCAGGTCCGGTGACCCTTCCTCAGAATAAACAATAAAATATTACAATATAGATTCAGCGCCACATAAATGTCTGGTAATTACCATCTCCATTAAGAGACAGACAATATAACCATTACCACTTAACACTCAATGATGTTACAATCACTGAATCCACCCCTTGACTCCTCCCCGATCATCAACATTGACCAGACCTCAAATGGACTCACCACTTAAATACAGTGGCTATAGAAACAGGTCAGAGGCTAAGAAATGCTGCGAGTAACTCACCTCCTGACTCCTCAAAGCTTGTCCACCATCTTAAAGGCACAAGTCAGGAGTGTGATGGAATACTCCGCCAACTTGTCTGGATAAGTGCAGCTCAAACAACACCCAGGGAGCCTGATACCATCCAGGGCAAAGTGTCCTGTTTGATTGGCACCACCTCCACAAGCAGTCACTTACTCCACCAGCAGTGCTCAGTAGCAGCAGTGTGTTCTAGCTACAAGATGCACCACAGAAATTCACCAGAGATCCTTGGACAGCACCTGCCAAAGCCACCTAGAAGGACGAGGTCAGCAGGTATTGGGATCACTACCATCTGCAAGTTCTCCTCCAAACCAGTCACCCGGAAATATGTCACCATTACTTCACTGTTGCTGGATCAAAATGCTGGAATTCCATCCCTAAGTGCATTGTGGATTTGTGGATCGACCTACAACACATGGACTGCGGCATTTGAAAAAGGGAGCTCACCACCACCTTCTTAGGGCAACTAGAGATGGGCAATGAATGAGGGCTAGTCAGTGATATTCACGTCCCACGAGTGAACAAATAAGAAGGTACATTAACTCCAAGCTATCCAAAAAGTAGTTTTCAAAATGGGCACAAATTATAGCCCTCTGCAAGGGAGGCTGTGGTATTACAATGGATAACAATTTATTCCTAATGGTACTATGCATTGCTGAAAAAGGACAGTTTGTTGAAGCTTTTCAGCCTGCACTCATTAGGTCAATTCAAAACCAATGGAGGGAAAGCCAACATTTTTACTGCATGAGAGGACAGTGCTGATTGGTTTGCTAGTGGATTCTGATTAGCAGAGGCATTGCCATGGAGAAACAATATTTAGTGATGATCCATTGTTATCTGCTGGTCTGTGGTTCAATTTCAAATGGGAAAGCCCCGAGAATTGAATCACTATTCGCCCCAAGAGGCAACTAGATAAAACACTTGGGGCGAATGGGATCAAAGGTTGTGGAGAGAAAGCAGGATTAGGCTATTCAGTTGGATGTTCAGCCATGATTGTGAAGAATGGTGGAGCAGGCTCAAAAGGGCTGAATGGTCTCCTCCTGTTCCTATATTCTATGTTTCTATGTAAATATCTATCACCTGATTTGCGTTCTGCGGAAGGATCACTCGACCTGAAACATTAACTCTGATTTCTCTTCACAGATGCTGCCAGACATGCTGAGCTTTACTAGCAATTTCTGTTTTTGTTTGTGCAGTACTTTCAGTTTTTAATATCTGTCACCTGTTTTGTTAAGTTGAAGCAGACAGTGTGTGCGCACATAAACGAAGTGCTGGAGAAAATTGGCAGGTTGGGCAGCATTTGTAGAGAGAAACAAAACAAAGGAAACGTTTTGAGTCTACTGACCATTTGTCAGGAGTGAAAAATTGCTGGGAAATGGTGTTTATGTTGTTGACTGAGGGTGGTGGGGGAAGCAGGGTGGTGGAGTTGTGTGGAGGAGGAGAGTGAATAAAGTACACAGGGCCCAGAGAGAGAGACCTATTTTGCTGAATGCCTACACTGTCCATAAAATTGACCCCGCGCTTCCCATTGCCTGTCACTTCAACACACCACTGTTCGCATGTGTGTCTCTGGGCTGCTGCAGTGATCCAGCAAGGCTCAATGCAAGCTGGAAGAAAACAACTCATCTTCTGCCTAGGTACCTTACTGCTTTCAGGATTCAATATTGTGTTCAACAATTTGAGATTGTGAACACCTTCTATGTTCATTACCCTCCTCCTACACTGCTAGGGTGCAGTTTTGTATGGGTTGCTCCCAGTACTGGCAACCCATTTCAGTAACTTACCGCTACACCCTACCCTTTCCGTCATCCCTCACCCCCTCCACACTCCCTCTCTGGGTTCCTTTTAGGTAGTAAATTCCAGATACCCACCACTCTGGATGAAAAGAAGTCCTCAAATCCCCTCTAAACTTCCTGCTCCTTACCCAAAATTTGTGCCCCTTAGTTACTGACCTCTCTACTATAGGTAAGGTTTCCTCCTACCTATGCCCCTCAAAATTTGTCCACCTTAATCAGATACCCCTTTGGCCTGCTTTGCTTTAAGGAAAACAGTCTCACCATATTTATTCATTTAAGGCATTTCTTAAATGCTTATGTTTAAGTGCTTAATGCCATAAAAATTCTCAAGTTTAATTTAGTTCAAATGGCAAGTTCAGTGGGAAGTCACTTTCTGCCTTCAAATAAAAGTTCTCTCTTCATCTTCAGAAAATGTTTGATATGACTGCAAAACATGTAAATAATTACAAAATCTTCCCCTTTGTGCCACGGTGGGCCCTTGTGCCCAGTCTACACCTCAAATCCTGCAAGACTGGATTCTACGCAGATCAAATCAGCCTGACCGAATACACACTCCATCACAACAGACGAAGAACTGTTTTGAAAATACATTGAGGACTGGAGGTATTGATTAACATTTCTACAGCATACACTGGCAATACTCTTTTGTAAAACTCAGATTAAAGTGACATGTTTGATCATTTACAAAACTGTCACTCCAACGTTCAAGGAACATATTTGGTGGCTGGAACTGCATGTGCTATAAATGTACAAGTGTCTGAATCTGGGGCATGTTATTAGCCAGGCAGCGTGTTTCAGTTGTGAACTTAACTGTTGAAAGTACAATAAAACGTAGAACACACTCTGCAGACCTACTAGTATGGTACAGACCATGATGTGAGCAATCATTAGCCTTTTAAGGTAGTGTAAAATTCATGGATTCAATGACCACCTGCCCCGCTTTCCACAACCCAGTGCAACACAAATAACATTTTTATAATAATCACATAATGCTTTATAAGCCTCGATTTTTGTTACTTTTATGTATAAGCAAGTTTTATTTTCAGTGCACCACCACCGCAATTGTATTTTTTTTAAACTACAGAAAGGGAAAACAGAGTCAGAATTAATTATTTTTGAACGGTTAAAGCAATCATTTCTGTCTACAAATCTTCTGTCCATGCTTAATAAAAAGAATTTGTTCTTTTCCTCCCCCTGAATGGGGGAGGGAGGAAAAGAATGGGTTCTTTTCCTCCCTCTGAATTGGAGAGGGAGGAAACCTACTGCCTTGATTAAGCTTTTGGTTACTTGTCTGAATGCTTCATTATGAGGTTAAATGTCAAGTTTTATTTGAGAATTCTCCTGTGAAGTTAGGATATTTTACAATATTGAAGGTACATATATGGTAAGGCACTGTTGTTGAACTCCCAAGTAACTCATGTTTATTCAATGTGGAGTTGAGCCATGTAGACTAGGATGGGGCACAAATGCCCAAAAACGTAGGATGAAGTAGGGCATGTTAACCTCATTAATCCAATGAGCCCTGCTAAAAATGCAAATGCAGATGGATTCAGGCTAACTGTAATATCCCCCAAAAGGCATATCTGATTGAGACCCAGTATGAAATGAGGTCAGTAAGGTACTGGATGATATTTATCAATTGTGTTTCAATTTCATTTGATGCCCTCAAGGAGGAAAAAGAAAAAAGGACAAAATTGGTTCATAGGAGTATCATGGAAATTGTTACTAAAAATGTGAACTTTCAGAAGAGGATGCCTAATTTTCATAGGAAGTAACGGCATTTAAACTGGATTTATTTTCCCTTTAAGATATGTAATAGTCACATTATGTGACAAGCTCACCTTGTGTTTAGAGAAAAAGTCGATTCCAATGTCCACTACCGGGGGATCGGACGATTGCATGTCAGCTATGTGTGTTCTGGGATTAATCTATTTGGTTATAAAGATTAGAAATGGAGAAAATCAGTCCAATTATACAAGCTTCTTCAGAAAGTCAAAATTTTTAGGGAACAAATAAATTGAATAAATCCAAGTGAAGTTTGATAAGATGCTCACTTTTGCAACAAACTCTAGAATTAGATACTAAATCCTAAACCAATAAAGACAGCAGGTGTGCCAACAGTTTAGATTTAATTAAGGTAGTAAACATGTAGAACAAATTACCTATGGTTAAGTAACTGAAGAAGTAGGTGAAGGGCATGTGTCCTTGTGACCAACTAGATTGTACTTTTTTGATGACTTGACGTTAAACAGACTCATTCCAAATATAACCAATATAAGCAGATACATGACCCAACATAAACTCAGCTTGAGGACCAATAATCTAACATTACATGTAATGTCTAATTCCTCCGCAAATTCTAGATAATCCACTTGTTTCATTCTTGCATTTGCAGCCTGCTTTTTGAAAATCAAGCAGGGTCCCTAAAGCCAAAGCTTTTAAAAATGTAATTATTGCATTTATGAGATAGAATTAAGAGATCAGATTAGATAAGTGGCTCAAATTGCAATTTAGGCTTGAACAACTCCCTGGAATTTCAAGAAAGCAGACCTTCTGTGCACAATAGCAACAATGTTGAAATGGAAATATTAATCATATTCTCTTGGCATCACCAAAACTTTGCGTGTTTGAAGACATATTACAGAATGGCCTTTCTTCAAATATCACACAGGTGAGGAGATCTGCCCTCATGGGATCAACTTAATCTTTTCTTCTACTGGACTCTTACAGTTTGTTTCATTTTATGAAGTTTTTATATTTCCCTTTCTTCCTGCTTACTAGTACCCTTACTCATGCTATACAAAAACAGTTAAATATATTTCTCCTACTGTCTTGTGCTAATGTCACTTTGACCATTTAATTGTTTTTCCCTTGACTTGTTCCCTTATATATGCTGGTCATCTATAATATTTATTTTGCTTTATTCTTTCATGGGACTTAGAGCTTATGAGTCCAAAAGGAAACTCAAAAGGAAAAAAGACATGAATCAGATTATGGCTTTAACTGGAACTAAGTGACTAGAGGTAAACACTTCTGAGAGTACAGAAGAAGAGCATAGAGCAGATGAGAGATATGAAGGGTTTTTCATCTAAAGGGAAGATAACCCTTTCTTCTTCAAATGAAGCAGGCATGCCCATAATAATAAGGGATCCATGGGCAACTCAAATTCTCTTGTTGGAAAAGGATCTAGTTTCCCCTCCAAAGGCTTCAATGAAAGCCAAAGTTTTGTTAAATAGGTTAGAAGAAGAGTATACCCCAGTTCCATTGTACAAAGATTGTAGTGTGACTTGTTGTCTGGTCTAGTGGTAGGAAAACCAGTACCTTTGATATACATACCAGCTGAGTTTTAGATTGTGCAGAACCACCACTTAAAATAAAAGTAGGTCATCAGTATGTCCTTACATTTATAGATATGTGAACCTGCTTCCCAGATGCCAATATTTTAAGGATAGATACAGCTAAGGTAGTGGTGGAAAAGTTTACTCAGTTTTACTTTGTTATTGACTACGAATGGGATACAGTCTCATCAAGATTCTAAGCTTTTCCAGGAAGTCAAGAACAGTTTGGTTATAAAACAAAAACCGATATTTCTAGAAAAACTCAGCAGGTCTGGCAGCATCAGTGATGAGAAAGCAAAGAGTTAACACTTCAGATTTTTTTTATTGGGTATAAAACAATTAAGTCAATGTGCACCATCTGCAAACCATGGAACTTTGGGGAAATACCATCAGAATCTCAAAACCACAATTAAGACATATGGTCACGAATACCCACAGGATTGGGACCAACAATTTGATTTCTTAGTACGTGTTAAATGAAACTACCAGGTTTAGTCCATTTGAATTGATTTATAGCCATGAGATTAGTGTCCCATTAAAATTAATTAGGGAGAAGTTCTTGAACCAAAACAAACAAATCCTAAATGTTGTAATATGTGTCCACGTTTCAATAAAAGAAACACAGGAGCATGTAGGGTATCACAAGAGAACTTGGAAGTTTCACAAGCAAAAAGAATGGACAGACAAACATTCAGCAACTAGAATGTTTCAAGGAAAAGATGAAGTATTGGTATTGTTGATTTTGCAAGGTGAACTTCTGAGATTGAAATTCAATGGTCCATACAAAGTACTTACAAATGTTAGGCAAATGACTTACCTGGTAAATACTGATCATAGGAAGAGTCATCAGTTAGTCACATAAACGTGTTGAAAAGCCATTATCACAGTGATGAAGAAAGGGCGAAGTAGTATTTCACGCAAGAGTAGTTAGTGAAAGATGACAGAAACAATAAAATTAAACTAACTGTCCAAGCTGGCATATTGGAAGATTGTTGTAGTTTTTGGAGGACAGTCAACTCAGCTTCATTACATCTCTGCAGGAATGCTTCAGGGTAGTATCCTAGCCTCTATCATGTTTAGCTGCTTCATTAATGATCTTGCATACATTATAAGGTAGGAAGTGGGATGTTCATTGATGATTGTACAATGTTCAGCACCATTCACAACTCCTCAGATACTAAAGCAATCTATGTCCAAATGCAACAAGACCAGGCTTGGACTCAATAGTGGCAAGTAACATTTGTGCCACACAAATGCCAGGCAATGTCCATCTCCAGTAAGAGACAATCTAACATTGTTCGTTGACTTTTAGTGGCATTATCATCACCGAATGCTCCACTATCAACTTTTTGGGGAATACCATTGACCAGAAGCTAAACTGGACTAGCCATACCAGAGTAATGGCTACATGAGCAGGTCAGGGGCTAGGAATACTGCAGCAAGTAACTCACACCTCCTGACTCCCCAAATCCTGTTCACCATCTACAGGCTTGAGTGAGGAGATGGAATATTCCGCACTTGCCTGGATGAATGCAGCTCCAACAACACTCGAAAAACTTGACACCATTCAGGACAAAGTACCCCACTTGGTCGGCACCACATTCACAAACATAGACTCCCCTCCATCACTGATGCTCAGTAGCAGCAGTGTGTACCATCGACAAGACGCACTGCAGAAATTCACCAAAGATCCTGTGACAGCACCTTCTGAATGCATAGCCACTACCGTTGAGAAGGACAAAGGCAGCAGGTACATGAGAACACAGCACCTACAAGCCACTCACTATCCTGACTTGGAAATATATCACTGTTCCTTCACTGACTCTGGGTCAAAATCATGGAATCCCCTCCCTTAGGGCATTGTGGATCAACCTATAGGACAGTCTACAGCAGTTCAAGTAGATAGTTCACCACCGCCTTCTCAAGGGCAACTGGAAATGGGAAATAAATGCTGTTCCAATCAGTGAGGCCAGCATCCCACAGTCAATATATTTAAAATAAAAAGAGATGAACAGTTCTTAAAGCAAAACTCCTACAGTCTGACTAGCTAACACAGAAATGTTAGGTCAGTGAGACATTGCGTTCTTCTATTTAGAGGAAGAATAATGGGAGAATATAAGACTACTGAGGAAGTACAAAGTAATTTGTACAATAACAGCCAGGCACGATGTGGACATTAAAAAAAAAGACCAATAAAGCAAAATTGTTTGAATCCAAAAAACAAGCTCAGAGACTCAATATATGCTGGAAAACTGCTGGATTGAACCCAGTCAAAATAGCTAGAGTTCACCCATAATTCTTGAACTGATGGATCAACTAGATTCTGCAGATTAAGAAAGGTAAATGTGTTCTTGAAGACAGATTCAAATCCAATCCAATTACAAGACTGAATTGATAGAAAGAAATGACATGCAGCCAAACCTAAGATTTATCTTTTTGAAGGGGATACCAGCCAGTGCCATTAACATCAAGGGCCAAATAAATATCCATGTTGGCGGCATGGTGACTCAGCGGTTAGCACTGCTGCTTCACAGCGCCAGGGACCCGGGTTTGATTCCAGCCTTGGGGGACTGTGTGGAGTTTGCATATTCTCCCGGGTCTGTGTGGGTTTCCTCCAGCTGCTCCGGTTTCCTCCCACAGATCAAAGATGCGCAGGTTAGGTGGATTGGCCTTGCTAAATTGCCCATAGTGTCCAGGGATGTGTAGGTTGGGTGAAATAGCCATGGGAAATGCAGGGTTATAGGGTACAGGTGGGATGATCTTCAGAGGGGTGGCGTGGACTTGATGGGCCTATTGGCCTGCTTCCACAACGTAAGGATTCTATGATTCTATGAAATGGGTTACACCAATGTCAAGTGATGCCATTTGGGTTTAAAAACATCCCAGCTACATTCCAGAAGCTTAAGAATTAAGCCGTAGTTGAAGTTCATAACTGTACAGTTTACTGAGATGATATATTACAATATACAACATGGCGAGAGCATGCAATACAAGCAGAAAATCTGTTTATGTAATTACAGTTGGCAGGCTACATAATCAATTTAGCCCAAAGTGAATTTCTGAAAGCAAGAGGAACTTACATAAGACATACTGTAGTGCCTGGACACATATCACAAGGAAAGTATTAGTGAAAGATTGAATAGAATTCCCTGTTCCTAAAACAAGATTACAATTCATGAGATTTTTAGGAATTTGTGGGTTTTACCAGAATTGTGTATATAATTACACCATGATAGCTGTACCTTTAATAAACTTGTTAAAGAAAAGTGACATGATCAACAGAATGTCAAGCAGCCTTTGAGAAACTGCAGACAATCATAATCAATGAACCACTGTTGGTAGCCCTGGATTTTTGAAAACCTTTCAAAAATAGCAATTGGTGCCAGTGGCTTAGGAGTAGTTGCAGGATAAGAAAACATAGGTAAAGAAGCTAGTGGGGTGTTTCTCCCAAAAAATAAACTTGTATCAGAAGTAGTACTATACTATAGAAAAAGAAATTGGGATTATTACTAGCTTTTTAACACTTTGAGATCAATGTCAGACATGATGAAAAGGAAACACTAATTTTCTGACCATAATCCAATGGTCTT